GTATGGATGGTAGTTGTATCCAATAATTTGTGTAAATGTTGGGTCTTGATAAGGGCGCAATTTGAGTGTGACCGACCGCCAGATAAATTGCTCCAGTTCCACAGACGCCCACGTTTAGAGATCATATACTATATATCAGTTCAGATTTATAAGAGTGTAGGTCCAGTTCGTGTTTATTGCGGTTGGTGTTCCGTAACAAGATCAGCGAGTTAGTTACCGATGGTAAGAGCGCGACTCCTATGGAGAATCCCCATTAATTCCACCATAAAATATGACGAAGCGATACGACGAAACTGACATAAAATTATGCCGCGCTATCGCAAGTTGTAGAGCACGGTTTAATACGTACATACAGTCATGACAACTTTGAGAAATTGCCGTTCTTAACTAACAATGGAACTAAGGGAATTAATTAAACAGGAATTTAACTTCCGTGAGCTGTACCATTTCTAATTCCTTCAACTATTTCTTCTTCTACTAAAGATCGTATTGCTCTTTCCTTTATTTTATGACATTAAAAGTGACACCTAGTGAACTGTATCATTACTTTACTTCTACTTCTCACCTATTAAAGGTTAACAAGAAAACTTTGCTTTAGTGGAAGAGGATTTTTATTTGCNCCGTGCTTGATTGTTTTCGTGAATATTTTGCAGAAAGAAGTTCGAGTTTTTTCAGACTGCATTTGGCGAGTATGATACAGGAGCCTACATGTATTTATAACATTGTTACGTACAAGCATGTATGTGATAATAAAATCAATACCTTGATTCCCGATAGCTCTTGAATATGCTCGCAAACAGACCTCTGTATTGAAGACGCGAAGGGAAACGATTCATACACTGAGTGACACGTATTTGCCGCTTAACAGTAGGACTTCCACAATTCTCGATAAGAATGAAGACTGTTCCTCAAAATTCGATAATAATATAAACAGGCCACGACAAAGTTAGTTAGTTAGTTAGTATATGAAATACAGAGTGATTTAAATAATGTACAAACACAAAGGAAACAAAATTGGGTACAAGCGAATTTTTTACCAGGGCCAGAATTGAATTTACATGTAGCTCGAACCGTATGGATGGTAGTTGTATCCAATAATTTGTGTAGATGTTGGGTCTTGATAAGGGCGCAATTTGAATGTGACCGACCGCCAGATAAATTGCTCCAGTTCCACAGACGCCCACGTTTAGAGATCATATACTATATATCAGTTCAGATTTATAAGAGTGTAGGTCCAGTTCGTGTTTATTGCGGTTGGTGTTCCGTAACAAGATCAGCGAGTTAGTTACCGATGGTAAGAGCGCGACTCCTATGGAGAATCCCCATTAATTCCACCATAAAATATGACGAAGCGATACGACGAAACTGACATAAAATTATGCCGCGCTATCGCAAGTTGTAGAGCACGGTTTAATACGTACATACAGTCATGACAACTTTGAGAAATTGCCGTTCTTAACTAACAATGGAACTAAGGGAATTAATTAAACAGGAATTTAACTTCCGTGAGCTGTACCATTTCTAATTCCTTCAACTATTTCTTCTTCTACTAAAGATCGTATTGCTCTTTCCTTTATTTTATGACATTAAAAGTGACACCTAGTGAACTGTATCATTACTTTACTTCTACTTCTCACCTATTAAAGGTTAACAAGAAAACTTTGCTTTAGTGGAAGAGGATTTTTATTTGCTACCGTAAAATACTTACGAAGATGTTAAATAAAGTCAGTTCGATTAAATTTTGACACCTACCTACTTTAATTTTGGTTAAACCCAAAATAAATGCTGGATTTCCTCATTTACCCAGAGATGATCACCATCGGTAAAATTTTGAGTTCTTGATTTTAACCTTTCACAAGACTCAGACTTGACTTACAGAACTTCCGCAAGAAATAGAATTCACGGAACATTCAAATGAAATTTACCTTTAAGGCTTCCTATAAACTTCAAATAATCCATAGTACTGTGGGTTTTTGTTTTATTTTTCTTTCCGTTAAGTTATAACAGTTATATTTATCCTAATAATACGATAGCGAGTTTCTGCAGTTTGTCCGCTCCTGATTCATTCGAATTGTTTTTGCAAGTCCCAGATTATAGGGGATTTACCAATGTGAACGAAGGTGAACACCGCGGGGGAAGAGTAGTTGCAAATAAGTAGCCATCGAGGTCAGACGAACAAAAAGAGTAAAAATAAAAGAGGAAAGACGCGAGAAAGACGAAAGACGCGTAGAAGACGAAAGACGTACAAAAGACGGAAAGTCCTGAAAAAGACGATAAAGACGGAAGACGATAAAATCAATTGTATATTGATGTGCTGTTGTGACCAATAAGAAAAGTGTATCAGGATAGCTGTTCAATACTGTGGAAAACTCTAATTGTGCAAACGTTTATACTTTTTAATATTTTAATTTTATTCATTAAACACTTTCTAAAAATAGTGGAGCTGGATTCGTTTTTATTCACCCTAGACAACAACGGAAAAAAGCCTACATTTTGGGGGCTCGTCCGGGATGTGATCTAGCCAGTACAGTGACAAAAGCAGATAGCTGAAACAGTGAACNAGGCGAACTAGACAATAATGTCTAAGGAAAAGTCTATTTCACCACATAACATAGATTGACTGCAAACAAATGGAATCAACTGGCATAATTTTTTTAACCGGAAAATGGTAGTGGTTAATTTTCGCTTTAATATTGGAATATGGTCACACTTAAGTACATTAACAATAGGAAATTAAAATACCATACTGTAGTAGGAAACCAAAAAGGTTTTGATAGATCTAGGAATCACGTTAAAGACAATTATAGTTTAGAGATGAGAGAAGATAAGTTTATCAATAGCTTTATAGATCTGTCACAAAGAGGATCCAAATCAGAGGTTTCATCTAACTGAATTATGGTAAATGCAATAAAATATATGTAGGACAAACGAGAGGTGCTTCGGAAAGATAATAAAAGAACACAGAAGTAATTACTAGCATCCAGAGGTAAGCTAAGTTTGAAATCAGTAAATTAAATAACAACGAATGAAAAGAATTCCCTGAATTTTATTTGTCATTAATTTCTTGTTTACCTAATTGACCACATTTTGAAAACATTCCATTTTAATAAACCATGTAGTATAGATATATTTATGTATGTGTAGGTAGATAAGTGGTTCATGGAAATGACGGAACCTGACAACCAGTTCAGAACTTTTGCGGTTTTTACTTTTATTTTTTTTTTTTTCAACTGATTTACATTCAAAACCGATAGTAACATTAGTCCGAAACATGCAGACACACATTAACATGAACATTCGAACGTGTTTTTGTTTAATGTGGACTGCAAACTGTCATTGTATGGAGACAGGTACCTATGGAAACGAAAACCTTGAATGCTACTTTCTGTTCAGGTAGATAATGAAAACGACAGTAACACTCAAGGCTCAATGTGTCTAAAAATACGACAGTGCACATGAAAATTATTATTAAAATATACTGTTACTTGACAATGTAAATGCACTAGGCGTCTGAAAGATTTAATCGAAATTCAACAACTAGCCTAATTAATTAATTTATTTGTTTATAACGTTTGCGGTTGCCTACTAATAAACAAACAGATGCAAACCTAATAGTTGCTCATGAAAGATTGGCACATAAAAATCGAAGGAAATCAATCTGTTTATCAAAATTTACCGTGCACAAGGAAGGTAGCATGTGATTAGAATTGAATTGTACAATATAATAATACTAATTACACTAATTATCTTTCCAAATATACACATATTGTTGCTAATAACGTTTAGCCTATTAACATTTCAGAATAGTTCTAATGATTGCCTTACGTCACTTACTTAATTGACATTTAAAATTTCGCAAACCGTTTTTATTTATAGAAGCAACATCACCTGTATTTCCTGAAGCACATATGCTTTAAAACACAACAATTATAAGATTATGACAAACATCAAGTCACACGTTATTCATTCAGAAATAGTTAAAGAACATAAAACCCAAAAAGCTTCAAAAACAGATACCTACATATCTCTAATTAATTGATATACCTACTCCGTCATTGAAGATTGATAATTACATATACAAGTTGCCGTTTAGAATTCAAAATTGTAAATACTTAGCAATATTTATCAAGAAATTGTATTTTAACTTTGCAAACCGTTCTGTACAATTGGTGTCAAAACAACTGTTTTGCACGGTAGGTACTGAAACTTGAAATTTTATTTGGTAGAATACCAGCTTTGGGAAAGAGTTTCAACATTCTGTGCTAACGTTTAAAGAGCCCCAGAAATCGATACTTCATTTTTATATAGGTAGGTATATCCCATCAGAAGGTAGCCTGATTTACAACCATTGATCAAGTAAGGTTCAATATTCATCAAATTGAAATCCCAAAAACAAAAGCCTTGCTTATGATTTTAACAAGAGGAGGCAATATTGTCAGCTAAATTCTAATCGTATTAGTAACATGTGCAACATTGATTAAGTCTTCCTGCAAAGGGCAAAGCATTGATTTTATTGATTAATATGATAAAAAATCTTTTATCCTAGATTACTTATGATTTTATAAATAATAGCCCAAAATCGTTACTGTTAAACTTGCAAAATGATGTGTCAGATTTTCCAAAAATCCATGGAATGGAGCAACTAATTCGAGTGTTTTTTCCCAAAATTCTCCCTCAACTAAGTACTCCATGGATGTGGAGCAAAGCTCACTTCATTCCCTTACATCTTCACTTTCACTGCATCCATAACACAAAACCTTTCACACCTTCTAATTCAATTACCAAAATATTCACACATTATTTATACAATGGTAGTGGTAGAAGATATCAGCCTCTCGGATTCCTTCAACAAGCGTCTCGATCCAGTTACTCAACACTGACTATATTTGTTATTTTCAGCCTCTCTAACCTCGTTTCTGTGTTCTTGATGAACGAACGGTGAAAACTCAACTTCCATTAAGTTTAACGAGAAGATGAGAAAGCTGAAGAAGTGTTCTCACCTGTATTTATGAATCTAGGTGGCATTCAGATCCAGTGAAAATTGAGATACAGGCCACACTTTTCGGAGTTCGGGCAAGCAACAAAATCCTGAGCTGTTACAGCAGCAGGCAAGCAAAAACACCCACAGAACGCGAACGGAAGTTTTTGTTTTTTACTATCGACCACGGTCGACGAAGAGCCTCCTGCAGTTGGTTCGCGGCAACTAAAGAGACAACGGCTTACATCGCTAAGCAGTAAGTGCTTTCGTCATGGATGGCGATCCTAGTAGGCTTAAGCAGCGTTAGAGGTGGGGTTAGAGGAACAGTGTCGTACTGCAGCAAAGTCGAGTCGTATCGAGAAGACTAAAACTGTGAGAGATGCTGCTGATGGAATTTTAACACTGTGGACGGAGACTTTAATGATGGGATGTTGCTGAAACCTCACCGTTGTCGTTAGAAATATGCAGCCACTCGGATAAATGATTATTATAAAGTGTTTGATAATAATAAATGTAAAATTATGGATTCATCACGGCAGGCGTCTTTGGTATAATAATAAGCATTACGTTTCGGACTTTCCAGTCGTTGTCTTTGGAAATTTCTTCCTAATATTTCGCCTACAATAGCGGCAGGCATTATCAAAGTTGATAAGATAGTAGAAAGTGTAAAGTACAAACCTTGCATTCATGTTAGAGTTTACTTCCCCAGGAGCATCAGACTCCTCTTGATTTACAATATTTCAACAGGATTATTATTTTGATTGTAATAATTGGTCTTCTTCCTTCATCAATTGTTTATAAACGTTTCTTTAAAATTCAGGGTAGGTTCAATGTTTATTGGGCAAAAGTGGCGGACATGGAAATGGTTGATGAACAGCAACAACATGCAAATAACCCGTAGGGTTACATAAAAGCAATAAAAGAATGATGCCTCCGTACCATAACAAGAAATAAATCATTTTATTCAATCCGAGTAAAATATATAGTTACAACAAGCTTTATAACCCAAAAGTTCTTGAAGTGTCTCTCGCACAAACTACGTTAATTTCATCAATATTCGTTACCTATATGAGCTGTAAAAGGAAAAAAATAGTCGGCACCACTATATCCCAAAATACTTATACAGAAACTGAAAAATGATGGTAGTATCCCAACCAATTCTTATATCCTGTCATGCACCAAAAGGTTTTTTCAACAGAACCAATACCTTCTACAATGGTCCGTCAATTGCAATACCTTAAACTTAACAACAGTGGACTATTTGTGTAGAGTCAAACGATGGGGGATGGGGCTAGCCACCTTTCAATAGTTGGAGAGTGCTGTATCCTATTCTTCCACCGAGCAGAATGGCCTAGAAGTTTAGACCATTGCTTTGCATTCGAGAGGACGCTGGTTCGATTCCTAGTCCGTCTGCGTTGGTCCAAGTTTTTCTATGATTTCCTTGGATCACTTAAGTAAATGCTGGGGCAGTAATATTTCATAGATAATCTTTCATTCTCTTCTATCTCATCATTTCGTCCGTTTTATCTTTCTCACACGATCCACTACCCACCCATTCCCACAATTCCTGAAAGGAGGCTAAAAAGGGCCTTCCGACGTAGTCCGGCATTAGTAGCTGGTGGGAATAATATACCCAAAAGTTAGTTGTCTCCTATTCTTCACTCTTCATAATTAGTATCTGTTTCTTAAGCGAAGAGTCAGCCTCAAAGAGACCTGCACTCACTGTCCAGACTCTGCGTCCGATCCACCACACGTGGCTAGACCATAGGATCATCGCTACTTTGGACCATATCAGTACTTATAAACTGTTGACATATAGATATATGAACACCTTCTAACGATATAAACTCGTTAAGAATTCTACTTTCTCTCCTTTCTTGCCATCTTATCTCCCTAATTCTGAATTCCTCTCATTCCTGTTCCATGAAACAGCTTCATTTCATTCTGTCGTCCCTGACTCATTTTCAAGTTCATTCTATTCGTTATACGTACAATATCCGTGTGTGGTAATTTCAAACCCTTATCATCTATCCAATCCCACGAATTTAGTTACAGTTAATTTCAATTTCTTTACCCCCAAACTGCACTCAGCAAAATTAACTTGACGTTTTTGTAATTAAGATAAAACTGTGATTGAAATTTTGAAAACGTCTCCGATCCTGAATCCGTTATTTACCTACATCAGGATAGAAAGACGGGAGGTTTTACAAACAAATCCGTCGTGAACTTTATACAAGCTATATAGGTACGGTTATGGACTTAGAAAAGTAATTAGTAAGTAAGTCGTAAAACGCAAAAGAATGCTAACAATCGCAAACACACGAAATCTAATTACGTAGATTACAGGTAAGATATAGGAAAGGAGAACGTTTTGGAAAGGTAACATAACTATTAAGTGTCTAACTAAGGTAATCCATGTCCAAATAAAATGCTGTGGTAATCTATATTTAATAAAAGTTACCGGGAAAGGTTAGACCTACTCATTGCCAATCCTGAACACTTGTTCAATCAATGGTGATTATATATTAAATTGCTTTCTTAAATCACATTTTGTTCACGATTACCTTTGTATAGAATTTCAAATTTCCAGTTTCCTTCTTTTTACTTTACTAGTGCTCCTCAAGCATGTCACCTCGACGATGGCGCAATTAAAAATCTCTTTTTAACTCACTGAATAATGAAAATACGAACTCTATTTTCCATAAAAATAAAAATGAAGTTTCTTCTTCATCATCGCCACAAGGTCGTCAGTCCTAAGACTGATTAGACACGCACCTTCACTATTTCCTATCCTGAGTTAACCTTCGCATTTCCCTAAGACTAGAATAGCTCACATCCTTGACTATTTTAACTATTTCTGCCTCTAATATTTCTCTTACTAGTCCTTCATGCCTGAGTAGGTCTCATCATACCAACCTATCTCGCCTATTGACTTTCATAGAGTCCTCTGTTCTCCTATTCTTTCTAAAACAGTAGAACCTCGATAAGATAAAGACCAAGGGAAACGTAAAATATTTTGAATTATTAAGGTTTTTACTTACTAAGGGTTTAAGTTTATGCTTTAAAATTATTGATTTCCAGTACTTATCAAACTCTTCAGCTTTTTTCTTTAGTATAAGTCCACTAACAAATGCCTTTACATATTTCTACACTGTATAAATCTAAACCATATAAACAAGCATCTTTCTAAATTAGGAAATTCAGCAATTCTTCGTCTTTTACATAGAAGACTTTCTCCCGATTCAAACTACTTTCCACTGCTTACTGAGGTGCGATGCCCAAATTACTCGCTTAAGCTATAGAGGGTTTTTATTTTAAGTAATAGAGGTTTTGGACTCCAAGGGGAAGGTAACACAAAATTTTATGAATTTATAGAGGATATTACGTTATTGAGGTTTAAGTCATCAAGGTTCTACTGTACCTCTTCATTTCTAACCTTCTCTCTTCACGGTATCCTCATCATTCGCCTGTAACACTACATTTCTAACGGTAGCCTATTCAACTAGATTTCCAAATTTTTGATTTTGGAAGTTTCTTACGACGCAAAAATTTAAACTAATTCTAGAAACTATTAGAAAACTACCAATAGACTGGAAAAATCAAATTAAGCCTGAACAGAGAACATTAACCTTTCGATTGGTTTTACATATTTCACGATAAGATATAAATATTTAAAGAAAACCTGGTCTAACACACATACCGAGGGTTCCGTATAAAGTTGTAGATATGTAGGTACATAGTTCTCGAATATTTTTCCAGCATTTTCCTAGTATGTTTTTACAAACAATATTATAAACAGACAGGCATTACAAACACAGGCAAAGAGACGAATAACGAAGTGATCCTATAAGAGTTTCTTTTTTCTTTTTGAGATACGGAACCCTAAAAAAAAAGAACATAAAGCTACTACTGCAGAAGTTTTTCGAATCTAAGGAATGTCATTCATAAAAACTCCTAAAAGCATAAAAAGATTGTAATTAAATCCAGCTGTAAGTAGCATCTAATTTATCAAGCGGCTTCTCCTACGACTGGTAGTTTTGCTAATGAGATAGTTTTTGGAATAAATAATTGCAGGACATACGAAATCTTCGATTTACTACGGAGTTATAATTTGTCTTCGAAGCTGGCTTGTATTTCAAAGTTTGCACAAAATTAATTTTAACTGTACAGATAATGGCAGAATAAATGGTAGTAATTTTTAACAGCTGCTTAAAAATACACTACTTGATTAGATTCATAATTTAAAATGTGAAAAAGTATCAATCCCGCTGTAATCAGCATTTATATACACATGTATACGTTGTATCTCTCTGTATCTATAAATTACGCGGAAATAAGTTTTATCCATTGCTAGAAAATAGAAATCCAGATAATAACGAAATTATAAGGAAGTGCAATTCAATAGAACAGAATGTGAACATAATAACTATTACAACTACTTTAAACAATCATACAATTTTAATGTACATAATTTACTGGATTGGTAATCAAGATATTTATAATTATACAATACATATTATAGTTTGCCTGTATCAGGTACATTGCTCTCTTCAGATAATTGAATCTACATTTATTTGATATAAATTCATCACGAACATTACCTGATTCAGTAATCCTACATTATGTACGATTTCTGAAGAAACAATTGTAAAGTAGAATATAATTTTATTAAAGTTTAACAAACATTCTTTTATTGGGTAGATACATTTTAATTATTATCGTTCTTGGTCTGGTTTTTCGACGGTACCTAGGTACATCTTGACATGCAGGTATTGGCCTTATTCTTGCGAGAGATTTTCTCGTTTTTGCAATTAATTAATCAATTAATTTTTAATTAAAAGATCATATAATCAATCTTTTATATCCTGTGTAATTTATTTTTATGGGAAAAACAAACTTCAGAATCTGATGAAGATGATAGTTAATGATAGATGCTGAAGACGAAGAAGGATTGGGGATAACGATGAAAATAGTCTTATTTTTCATATGATATACATTCTAAAGAAAAATATTTCTCTATATAATTTTCATTGTGTCATTTTATTTTATTTGGCAACGGCAGACATTAAAAATCTTGTTAATACGTCTTTCTCTAGTTCATTTAGTCTTGGTATTGGTCCTGCAAGTATATTGGTACTCCCAGGAAATTACTCCTGGTTTATTTTGATTAACGTGGTGATTCTTACCTTGNTGGAAGTTTCTTACGACGCAAAAATTTAAACTAATTCTAGAAACTATTAGAAAACTACCAACAGACTGGAAAAATCAAATGAAGCCTTAACAGAGAACATTAACCTTTCGATTGGTTTT